TCGAGGTAAATTTCATACCCCCGACTCGTTTTTCCCCACTGATTCCTCCTATGGCCAAATTGAAGCCGAAATCCCGGCCAAACGGCCGGAATACGCGGCCGAAGCCCAGCGGCGCCGCCGCGCCCCCTCTCGGTTTTTGCCTCCGACGAGGCCCTTCCCGGCCTCCGTTCGATGCAATTTTTATATCACCGTGATCACCATTCTTTTCTATACAGGTTGACCGAAGCCAAATCACCAAAACACGAACTTCGCCGGAGAGTCGCCGTACCCGAGAGCGCCGCCGCCGGTAAGCTCCGCTTTTCCGTGATTTTTTGGCCCCCCGAGGGCCCTAGGGTTGTTTTCTGACAAGGACCAATGCGAGTGTGGCCGAATTCGGCCAAAAACGGCCGAAAACAGTCAACCCGAGGCGACTCGCCGCCGCCAGCGGCGGCGCCGTCGCCGGAGCACGGCGGAGCCGCCGTGCCGGAGTTGCGATTTGGGCCGAAAGAGGCCCTGGGCCTAATTTGGATTTTTTTTGGAACACGTGCAGGTACTGTTAGTGTGTTTCAGTTCCCCGGGAAAAATTCAGGAAAAATTAGGGACAGCCTGCAGGCGCACTGTGAATCGTATTCGGATCCCGAAAACAAGTAAGGACCCCTCACCTTATTTCCTATCACGGTATTAAAGTTCAAAATGATAAAATGGTATTTCTTGAATTAATGCATGTGTGAAATTGCTTAAGGTAGCTAATGGAGCCCGAATCTAGTGTGATTGGTGGTTTACTGTTATTTGGCCTGTTTACAGCTTTAAATGCAAAATGAGGTTTGATGTGTTTATTTTACAGATTTGTGTGCATTTACTACGTTTTTATTAATCATGGGTTGAATGACTGAAAAACCGATACTGTATGTTGTCTGTTTGGCATGAACTACTGTTTGCTTGTTTGTATGTGAATTGATGATGCTTATTGAGGAAAAGGAAAATGAAAGATTGTGTAGACTGATAATTGTATGATGGGGTTAGCCTGACTAGATATTCTGGGAGATGGTGGACGGACCGGGTCCGTAGGGAACCCTACCGGGATTGTGGTCTCACATGCCGGACGGGGTATGGAGATCTTATGGTTTTGGCGCCCATACCGGACGGGGTATGGGGACGGCCCGTTTCACCCTCATACCGGACGGGGTATTGAGGTTCATGGTTTTGGCGCCCATACCGGACGGGGTATGGGGACGGCCCTGGAAATTGATTATGAATGTTAAAAGATTAACGGGTAGCGGAACCCCTATGGACCCCCACGGATACTAGTAGGCTGGTAAATGAGAAAAGGATATGTTGTATAATGATTGAATTACAAAAGGCGTGATAAGTGCTATGTTTTACAGCTTATATTATTCCATGATTGTGATAATGTTATTATTTTTCTTATATTGTTTTCATAAATTCCACCGAGATAAGTGGATGGTAAAGGTTTTCATGTTAATAAACGAGTTTATTGTAAATTATGCTCCATTGGTCTTTTTGTGGTTTTCTACCCACCTTTATCTCCGTGACGGTGAGATATCGTGATGTTCTTACTGGGCTAGTGTAGCTCACTCCTTAATTAACCATTTCAGATCAGGAAGACATGGTTCCCGAGCCCGTTCCGCAGGAGGACGACGAAGGGG